TTGTTAGTATTATAGATATCGTATTATTAAATCTCCTTGCTTGATGTCTTAGTTGATACGCTATTATTAAGCTGTTATACAATAGGGCTGAAATATTTTTATAAAAATATTGATCACACTTTTAAAACATTTTTCATAATGTATAATTAATAACTAGGTTATATATACAGATACTAGGTTTTTTTATGGATGATAATGGAGTGATAACCCCGTCTGATCTAACGGTGTACACTGGCGACGCACCAGTGAGGGAAGATATTAGATAATGAAAAAGCAGGTCAGTTAGCCCATCGTGATAAATACACCTGGAACTGAACCACGTGGAGGTCGATCTGACAGGGTATATACGTATATTGCTAGCAATGGTACTGGTAATCCGCATGTCTAACAATCCCTTCCTCTCACAGATTGTAGGTTAAACAAATAACATTTATTTATTTGCCCAACCAATATTAATTATTATGAGATGTTGCCGAGTACTTCTAAGTGCCATTTTATACTTATAAAAGTTTCTGAAGATGTTTCAATATTCTAATGGTTAGTCAATAACCACATAGAAGATTGAACCAACGAAATCTGGCACACAATACTTATTTTTGTGTCTTATGTCATTATTTAGGTACATTTGAAATCAACCGAGAAATTAACAGTTATATTTTATTAACTTACTTCCATGTTAGAGTATATTCTGTTTTTGAAGCATGTTTCTGATATATTATTAATTGGATTATTCATTTTATGATTCCTCATAAGACAAGGTGTTCTAGATTGAGTTCCAGGCGATTGATGCGATTGTGTGGGACATACTACATATTATAAAACTCAGGTATGTCAAGTTGTCAATGCATATTTGACAAAAATAATACTTACTTTATTGTAGTGATGATCAGATTGAAATGGATAAGCTTTTGAACTGCAATAGAAATTATTAAAGTACCTGATTCCTTCAGTAAGTATTTATGGATGATAATGGAATCGTAACCCCGCCTACGCTAACGGTATATGTTGGCGAGGCACCAGTGAGGGATGAAAGATAACAATGTACAGACAGGTTAGTGAGCCCATCGTGATAAATACATCTGGAATTTAGGACGACGGTTTCCAGAGGGCCCACCTGGAGGTCGACCCGATAGGATATATTGCTAGCAATGCGACTGGTAGTCCGCATTACTAACAATTCCTTCCTCCCTTCAGTAAATGTAAAAACTTATTATTTTTAGGAAAAAAAGAGTTTATTTTTATAACAAATTAATGTGGCAACCCTATTAAAAGACCTTAGCAAATTCTTCGGGTAAATATTCATGGTGAGAACAACAACAGCTGTCAAAATTTAAGGTCAATGGCGCTGCCGTAGCAATCCTAAAATGGTTTACAACAGGCGTAGTTAAAGTATGTCGCAGCACACAATGAATTTGACTCTCAAAACAATGACGTTATAGGGTTCCGCATATTTATACATACATTAGCGAATATGTAAAATACATGTAAACGCCATTGTAAGTATAGCTATTTATTTGTTTATATATATTATCATCATCATTTAAGTCATACATTGCTCAACACAAATCTCTTTCAAATCTTCATAAGGAACAGTCATGACATAAGCCACGCTCCGACGATGACCGTACTTATAAAACCATTCATATCCATCGAGTACCACACTTAATATAATTTATATATTGTTTTAATGACAAAATTTAATTATATCTCTTACTGTACATTAACGAGTACATAATACTAATAAGACCAATATTGTATAAAGGATACTACAAAATACAGTGTGTTCACGATATTCATTGAATTTTTTACTACGAGTGTCAGGTGAATACCTTTCTTGTAAACATTAGTAGCAGAAAAAATGTTCACAAATATCGTATTCCGTTGGTGAGATATAGCAACAAAATTAGATATTATGATTGGAGAGACTTCATATCCCAAAGGTTGATGAAGCACGAGTGATAATTATGTTGCATGCATTCATGAGCTGTCACAAGCATTCATATTTAACTGTGATGATTATATATTAAATATTTAAAGAGTGATAGTTACTGTTACTATTATCATATAATATTTACAATTAGATTTTACTACAGCAATATAACAATGATTTTTCTGGCTAGGTTTTCCTTAAAAACTATAACATATTCTTTGAAACACGAGCATGGCACTTCTGATGTTGCATATGTTTATAGTCTTAATAGCCATTTACCTGCTTAAAAACCTGATTACCACCAATAGTTGTATAAAAAAAACAATGTACTAACATATTTTTGTAAAAATATTAAAACACAAAATTACATTAATAATTAACAGAACCCTAAAAATGGCGCGTGGGCAATCCTTGGGTGCAAATTTGGAAGAACGTGCCTAATGTGCTACAAAATACTCAGTTAAATATTAAGACCATGAGTCAATCCTATAAGGTTAGTTAACGATACAAGTATAGGTATAATCTGTGTCGTAGCACAAGGCAGTCTAGATTTCAACCTAGATTTATTATGATGATATTATTTTTATATTCGCATATTATTTGTATACTTCCCATATTTTTACGTATAAACACTTGTTTCTAAAGAAAAAAATGATAATCTTTAGAAGTTCTTTAAAGACAAGAACATGAAATAAAAAATAGATGATCTGAAATATTAATTTCTCAATTTTATAAAATTTTTGAACAATTATTAGGAAATAAAGTTTATGTTGTTAATTTAAGATATGATAAAAACTGTGACCTTCACTACCATTTATAGTGGATGATATACAAGATTGAGTGCAAAATATTAAAAAAAACGTTCCATTAAATGATCAGTCAAATCTTGACTAATGCAATATTTTCTCCAGATTTTTCTTACATATAAAGTCTGATAATTACAGTATTGATAATAAATAAAATAATATTTTGTGTAAAAATTAAAAATCATTTTTACAAAAGCATGTCATTTAAAAACTAGGCTATTTTAATTGAATCATTTTTACGAAATACTAAATCTAAGAGTCTGAATTTGTATACAGTATATATGTATACAGTAAATACAAATTTAAATTCATCCCCATATTATGAAATAATAACATAATTGCTTATTATTATATTATTATGTACGTGTAGGTAATACGTAAATGTTGTCAGACATTGAGCTTAACGTTCTACTGGTATGACAATTAGAAGCGTCACCACAAATCTAAGTGGGTGGCCATTATTTTGCTGCTCCCACACTGTCAAGTTTACGGCCAAAAGTCACACGTCACATAATACATTAATAATTACTAAGGTAAAATACTACACAGTGCATTTGTGAAAATATATCTATCTATTTAAATGAAACTAAATAAGTTTATTTGGATTAAACAGTCTTAAAATTATTAACAAAGCCCACGTAGTACTAAGTTTTTTTTATAACATGGTAGTACGCGCCCGGTGAAGCTGTAAAGGCCATCTGCGGACAACAGCAAAAACGGTACGAAAAAAAAAAACATGGGGGGGCAAACTAGCATGCGGCTTACCTGATGGTAAGTGACCATCGCCGCTCATGATCACTGACAATACCAAAGGCATGGCAGACGTGCTGCCAGCCTTTTAAAAAAATATGCTCTTTTCTTTAGTTATGATGTGGTATCGGTTCCGAAATACTGCTGCTGGAAGTTGATTCCAATCAATGATTGTGCGTGGATGAAAATGGCTTGAAAAACGTACGGTGGAGGACCACCATTTATCCAGATGGGATGGAACTTTAGTTTGTGGCAGGTTGTACGATAGTGAAAACCAGCAGCAGGTATTAATCCGAACAAATCCTCAAAACAATCAATTTGGCACCTGTTCAATTACCTTAAGTGATATAGGCATGCAAATATTTATATTTTATAAAAACTATAAATATTTTCATACCTACGTTATAAATATAAAAATAATACTGTCTATATTACAGGAAAAGTTTTTCGAAACGAAGAGAAGGGTTTCAGCTTGCCATACTCAATACGACTAATCCAAATAAGTAAGAGAATATAAATTATAAGTTCAGTCAATGTTTGAAATTTGAACTTTCGGTATCTTAGACGTTTGTTGTTAAGACATTATTGTTCAGACAATGTCATTCGATCTAACATAGAACATCTTATTTTATTCATATCACCATCACCAACGTTTCCTCCCTTAATTAACACTGCTGAACATGATAGAGTTAAGAAAATAAAAATCCTTAAGTGTATATCTAAATACAATCAGGAAAATGTGTATATACCTATACAGTTTTATATATCATATATAATATGCTACCGAGGACCTAATCAAAGCCTACAATCTTCCTCTGTTTTGGCGTAACTGCCTCTTTATTTATCAGATGTGAGCGCCATCTGATTGTCTGTTCAACGACATTCAGTCCCGCTCAGATTTACGTGAAGTTCTGCCGGCGCCGGGTAGAAAACCGCTTATAAAAACCCTTGTAAAAAATTAAACGAGAACACGTATATATTTAAACTTGTTTTAATATTTTAAAGCCTTTGTCGGTAAACCTAAGTAGTAGCGATAATATCATTACTATAAGATTAAATTATGATGACCGGGGATTAAGTAGATACCTCCTCATTTGCGTTCGTTTAATTACATATCTACTATTCAAAATGTTAAATACAGAACAAAGTAATTTTATTTTTTTATTCGTCAACATTAGATACCTATTGCGAAATATGCTTTAAAACATTCAAATCTATTCTTCCACAAATTTTATAAAAAGGTATGAAAAAGTATATTTGTCTATAATTTCAAAATTAATTAATAAGTTCAAATCTCCACAATTAACAATAGATATTAATATAATATATAAATAAATAATATTTTATAGCAACAAAAATATATTTTACTTTCAAATTATTGCAATATTTTTAACCGGATAGATTATCTATAAAATAAAGGCAAATCTGTCGATTCCCAGTGAGAAAGAGAACTTTATAATAAAAAATTACAGGCTACACATAAGAGGAGATCTTTAAAACACAATTTTTGATTATGAATGTTTAATTTTTTTACTTAGTAAATACATTGTTTTTACAGTTTCTAAATCTAAAATACAAAAAATATAGCTGATCAAAAATTTTAATTATGTATTTGAACTTAGTACCTATACCATAACTGGTAAGCAACAGTAAAAATTTGCAAAAATGCATTGTAAACTAGTAAATCATTAGGCAAATCAGTCGATTCCAATCCATTATAGTACTACGAAAATATTAGAAAAAAAAACATTACCTACATAAACATAATTTTGTGTCAACTTACTATTGGCGTATGTAAATATGGCAGTCACATTCACTTACACATAATTAAGTAGACACATTGCGTGCTACAATATAGGGATAATAGCGTAAACATGTTCGTATCCTTTTACAGTCTGCCCATATGCAAACAAATAAGCTACCTACCTCAACCAAATACAGTAACATTACGTTGGTAACTATGGGTTCCACAAATTTAATTCTGCGACTATTCGAATTTTACCGTTACTTTTAGTTTACAGCGCCATCTATATATTATTATAAATACTTGCTATTCAACGATAGATGTCAGTAGTATCTGAAATAGTACTCAGGTATCTATAATGAAATAAAAGATGGCAGTATATCGCATCAAATCGTATAAATTCAATAAAATGCAAAACAAATATTTTCCATGTTATATTTCAACATACAACAATAAATAAAACTTTTCATTTATAAAATACAGGAATGACATAAAAAAAGAATGTTTTTATTATCTTATTACTTAATAACTTTGTTTCAGATTGTACTTGTAATTCATCTGAGGTTTCACTTATTCTTTTCTGACAATATTTTATTTTTCTGGTATACCAGCCTAACAAGAGCACCGTTAACAAAATAAGTTGATATACAAACAACACACACGTCGCGTAAAACAAACGCAAGTAGATATGCTAGGTAGAAACTCGATGCAAGACCAGTTAATGTCAAAAGAAGTTGCAGCCGAACCCAAGCGAGATGATTGAAGGTTGCTGAAAATAAAATTACTGTATTAACAAGTTATTGCGCCTTAAAACAAAAACGAGTAAATGAAAGATTAAATTAAATCCAAAAGATTTGTGAAAATAAATTACTACTAGTATGTAACAGGAGAGAAATATTCCGAGTTGGGAAAAAGATTGTTTATTAATGAGGTCTCTAGTACCCATTGTTAGCAATATACACGGTTAACGCGAACTTCATGAAAATCATTGTGGTAATTTATTATAAATTCCTAGTAAATTTCCCACAATGATAAGGGGATGTTGTATCAGCTGGGGGTTTTACCAGTAGTTGCCACGCTTGGCAGGCGGATTGGCAACCGCAGTTAGGCTTTTGGTGATGTTTTAAGAGGGACCCTGCTGCCCATCCTTCCAGCATAAGCTCCCTAAATCGCCTCTTACGACACCCACAAAAAAGAAAGAGGTGCCATATTTTATACCGGGACTTACACGACAAACACAAATATGGGGCAAGATTACATTCTAATTGTTTTTTTCCACTGATGCTCCGCCAATGCAAACTCTTAGCATAAACAGGATTACCATTCCATAAAAAAAAACCTATCAAATTACATGAGCTAGACAAATGTTAATCCAAATTTAAGGTCATTGACTATATTTAAACGCACTACTTTTAAAAAATGTTATTAAGTATTGTATACAAGCACATACCATGTGATTTCCTAAAGGTATATCTATCCGATTCATTTTTCATCGTCGAACAATTGTGTTTTGAATAACTGTGTTTCTGTTTGAAGGGGCATGGCAGTGATATTTTGCAGGACACAGAGACAACATCTCAGTCCTAAGAAATAACAACGCATGACGGTTACGTTACAGTGATTCTATAGTCCATGATGCTGTTCATACCTATAGATGATGTTGACTAGTTCCACGAGTCCATTACTTGTTTGCCATACTAAGATGTATAAAAAATATCCGGCTATAAAACAATACTTACACAAACAAATGACCACGATTTATTATTCTCCAATAAATCCAGCATTCCCGGTCTCTATAATGATGAAATTAAACAAGCCAACCGCAATTACGTTACACAGTGGCAAAATATCGAGAATTTCAGAATCAATTTAATAAAGCAAATATTTTGATGGATTATGAACTGTTGGGTAACGACATAAATCAAACAAAAGCCGTGGCTTATTTCAATATCGAGTCGGGATAACAATGCCACTAACAATTCAGACCGTTTACGACCGTGTTTCGTAGAATTAACATTTTAGCAAAACAATAAAAGCTCACGCGAACTCTTACAACGTTCTAAATAGAGAACAGTTTACTGATATTAAATTTTGACGATAAATTCTATTTGTTTGTGGAAACGAACTTAATTATAAACTTTATCTATTTACGTTCATTATTATATGAAACTTTTGACAATATCATGACTTTGATATCTAATATTTAGGATGTCTAATAGACGAACTCACGAGGATATCCACATGAGTATAATAATAAATTAATAAGATAAATACAGGAAAATACGCTTAAATACAAAAATGTTATTAAAATTGAGTTAAGAGACAGATAAATTTAATTGTATAATAAATCTAAATATATTATATGTATATATAAATATATATATATATATAAAATATGTATAATATATAAATATATCTAATATTATAAGGTAATTATAACATTGTCAGCAACATTGTAGTAGGTAAACATATATAAATGCACAACTTAATTTTTTTATAAAATACTAGCTTACTAAATTGCTAAATGCTTACTTGCTATTTTAATCATTATATAAAGTATCCTACATAATAACCTAATCGAACAATAAATTTGAACGAAATCTATTAAGCCGTTTAAACATAATTGAATAATAAAAATTCAAACATACACATTTATATATTAGAATTAGAGTAAATAAATACAGAGATAATAGTGGATATCAACTAATACATATAAATAAAATTTATGCTCTGAATGTTTTTACGAGTAATCAGTAATATATTCGTATGTAGTTATCATTACTTATGTGATAAATGTAAAAGTATTTGTTTTTATTATTACCTGTTAGCGCGTAAATGGCTTATTTATTTCAAATGTTTCGCTACAAATCTACTATCACAACAGTTAAAATCGCTTCATTCGCCCTATCAGACTTTCGAAACATTAGCGCATAGTACGTTTGACTCGGCGGAGGAATGGAAAAGGAGTCAGGAACCAAACTTCCACCGAGTATGGGAATTGAATTCAAAGCGGTGAATGAAGTGATTCAGCGTGGTGACTAATTTAACTCAGCGGCCTAGAAATGTGGTGCTTTAATATGAGAGTATTTTGAAGAAGAGAATATTCTATTATAACGGCTTAACCAATCATTATGAAATATGATATACCCGTACTATACGATATGGGGAAGCAGATAGGATACTTTTTATCCCAGTCAGAGAAAATATCTCAGTCACGAAGACGAAGTCGCGGGTAAAAGCTAGTCAAATATAATTTAAGAACTTGCCCTACAGGAGACAAGTGATTTAATAGTGACAAAATTAATATGGGACCAACGCGATACTATCAAACAAGTATTATTTATTATTTTCATCTTCGTGTATGTATTATACTATATTAGTATATCTTATATATAAGTATATTTACATATATATGTAAATTTTAGCATGTATATAAATCAATTATTATTAGTACCACATTCGAGTATTCTAACACTTCCTTATGCTTGACTGGGAGAGAATTCCATTTGAATGAAGAATGCCAATGAGCATTAAAATCGCCTTATACACATACTTATACTAATTAATAATTAAATAAATAATTAAACGCGGATATCGACTCATCGATTGCAAAATGAATTATCAAAATCGATTTAGAATTGATGTAAATATTGAGGTTACACGCAGGAACAATACAGATTATTTAAAAACCTTCTTTTCCAATCTCTTAATAAAGTGGTCTAAATAAGAGTAATGCAAGTGGTTTGTAAAGTATTTGTCTTGTAGTCTACACAAACAACTTGCAAATACTTCAGACTTCTCAGGCAATTTCAAGCGAACAAATGTTATCCTATTACAATAACGGTTATTCGCAGCTCGTGAGCTACCAAATAAGCGTACTGCAAGCAGCTTGCGCGGATTTCGAAAGATTTTTCTCGTGGTTAGGTCACGAAACTATTGCCAACGGGCTGTAATGTGCGAATTACACTTAGATTGTGCATCTTAAACACATACACGCATTATGCAACTGAAAAGACTATGTGCACATACAATATCTTGGTTGCCAGCCAGTAAATCTCAACTTTGTGAAGATGTTTAGACATTTATTATTCAATTTAAACGGCTGAAAATATTTAAATGAAAGACACACAAGCAATCAACATCCTAGATTTTTTTTATTACACAGAGGCAAACGAGCATACGGCTCACCTGATGGTATCACCGCCGCCCATGATCACCCGCAACACCAGAGGCATTGCAGGTGTGCTGTTAGCCTTTTAAAAAAGAGTATACTCTTTTCTTGAAGGTTATGATGATTAACCCATACATGCGAGAAATAATGTACTATGACCGTAACCAAATAAAAATAAACATGGATAAAAAAATAACATATTTAAGTGCAACTGCACTTAAATATGTTAATATACAACTGTATAATATTCTTACTAGATAAATAAAGCAAAAAAGCTTTAAAACCGCGATCTTTTTATTTCGTAATTAAACACTATACGCGCCAAAAAACTTATATTTAAATTCAATATCCATGTATTCTTATATCGAAACACTAACCTACTTATTGTCTCTATACACTGTTATATAAATTGTGTATACAATTTAGCTAAAATGAATGCGACAATCCCTTAAATATTTTTTTCAATTCATTTAGAGCGTAAAATTTTATACTTACTTAAAAATATAATAAGACAGTAGAAAATTATTCCATAAATGCAATTTGGTACGTCCATTTTCAACTCTTTGGGAAGAAGCCCAAATCCTTTTGAATATCTGTAATTAGAAAAGAAATATACAAAAAAAAAAAACTATGGCTGAGGAAATATTATAAAAACACTGTCTTTTTAAATTAACTCCAAATTATACACAATTATATTTTAGCTCAACCACTAGCAAATATTTACGTCCAAAGTTAAAAAGAATGTTCCCTAAAACAATTTGAAAATCTGACAAATTTCAGGTATCTTGGTTCACTTATTTATTAAGGCTATCCGTTGATATTTCAATCTCCATCTTTACATGCTATATCATCATCATCAATCATCGTAACAAGCCATTATCGTCCCACTTATGGCCACAATCATAGAGTATGAGTATATAGTTGCACTTAAACAGGATAGCCAAAATAATAATACTTGTTTTCTTTTTTTATGACAAGGATCTCTACTATATAATTTACAGTTAAATATATTTTTTTTTCCTTTAAATATGACGAGACAATCGACTAAAATCCTATACAGGATCACATATTTTTTTATTATTTTTATGCCATAAATAAATATTGTAAAAAAAAAATATAAAATATAATAATCATAATAAAACAGTGAAGAAAGAAAAAATAATAATTCATTTTGAGGCATTAATATTACAACAAAGAATAACTAAATATTAGTATAGTAGGATTGAGTAATATTTGTTTGAAGCTGCTGAAAAGTGCTACTTACTGAGAAGTGAGCACCCGAGAGCAACTGGCGTACTCGGATATGTCACATAGAGCTTTGTATCCGGGACGTGCCTCCGCTATCATCTCCACATAAAGAGCGTAAGTGGAAACCAGCACGCCTACTATAGCCGTGGTTATGATTAGCCGATCTACTCTTTTGATATTCATACTTGTAATTTTCTGAAAACAATAAACATATTTAAATACTGGGTCATTCATTCCTAGTAGCATTTTATTTATTTGTCTACTAGTATTTGCTAGTTATTATATGTTAAAAAACTGTTTAAATTTGAGACGAAATACATAATTCAACAACATACTAAGAGCATATTTTAAAGACTAATAGGTCCAAATTCCAATAGGAATTAAATATAAAAACTGCTTTTATCTAAATAAACAATATATTGTTTCGGAAATAGCATGCAATGTGGTCGTACCATTAAAAGAAATGGAGGAGACCTTTAGCAGTGTCACCTAATCATCATATCAGCCAGTAACGGTCCACTGCTGAGGACGGTTACTGGCTGATACTGATAGGAACCCGAGTACCAAACCCTCCCCCTTGGCTGGGTTTGGTACTCGGGTTGCCAACCGCAGTTAAATTTTGTTAATGTTTTAAAAGAGACGCTGCTGCCAATCTCTTGACCATTAAATTCCCTTATTCGCCTCTTAACAACTACGGGAAAGAAAAGGATGGCATGTTCTATGCCGGGACCACACAACAGTATCACGTCTATATGAAATACCTACCGAGTTGGTTTGTTACCTATTAATGCCATAAATATCTCAACTAAATGTCATATGACATACAAGTAGTATTTACAATGAAAATGAAAATAGCTATTTTTCATCCTGGTCAATCATTATATCATCACGTAATGCGAACATAATCGCGGACATAACTGGTAAAATAATAAATTAAATTGCTAAAATAATTTACCTAGTTAATAACATAGGCATTAATAAATGTAAAACATTCAGGTGTTAATTTACGATCGAGATCTATATCGCGCTATTACGAGCCGCTGAATTTAAAACGATAAGTGAACTGCCGTAATTTATGAATTCGAAATGTTATTCCGAATTCGTTCAGATGCTCTCTTGTAAACCAATTAAATTTTTATGAATACAAAATGATATAGTATGAGCGAACGAAATTAACATCCTTTTATAGTCTTTAATAACTGCAAAACCCGGTTATACAAATTATTACGAGTATGATATTCATTGTAGTGCAGCTGGCTTGTTCGTTATAAAGTCGGAAGCGCGGCTTAATTCACACGGAGCCAAAAGTTTTTCTTTTGTTTCTCGTAAAAAGTCAGATGGGGTCACTAGGTATCCTAATTCATACATACATAAAATCATAGCTATAAGTTTCTTTTTAACATTAACTAAAAACTGACGACTAATGGAATGTGGCAAACTCCAACCAATAAAAAATAACTACACCATGGGCTTTATTGGATATACTAACAATCATGTTACCTACCCTACACGCGTAACGATTCCTAAAGTCTAGTGTGTAATACTTCAAATCTTATAATTTCACTGCAATATAGCAATCATAACGACCGTTAAATGTAGACTGCTGAACATATGCCCGTAGTTACCACGCTTGGCAGGTGGATTGGCAACCGCAGATAGGCTTTAGTGATGTTTTATGTGTGACGCTGCTACCCATTCTTCTACCATTAAGTTCCTTTAATCATCTCTTACAACACCCACGGGAAAGGAAGGGGTGGCCTATAGTAGGCCGGGACCGCACGACGGCGTTATGATATATAAATTGAACGGTTGTATTTCTATATGCATTTTGAAAGATAACTCCCTATAATGGTTTAATGGTTAATTAAAAATAACTCAAAATAGCACAAACACAACTATCAAAGTTCATAAATAAAAAAAATTGTCACCTTTTTTTTCTGGATTAAATCAGGTCATCATCCTCAACTGCCAGATTTAAATACTGTAAACCAGCAACGATCTTTTATTTTATTAGCCGTGTAAAACCAGTTATGATATCCTCAAATTGTTACGAGCTATCATTTTTCGCTCCGTAATTTATAACAAAGCACAAAACTTCCAAAAATTCATTTCTGTGTCTATTCAGGCCAATTATTTATTTATAGGATCGCAGGTACTTTATTCACAAAGTGTAAAAAAATAAAAATACTTTTTTTATATATATTTATTGAACGTGTTCTATTTAATGAAGTGAAAAACGTCTGCTTTGAATCGAACAGAAAATAAATTAGATGATTCATAATATTTTTACAAAGTTATATATTATACTTATATTATATAGTTAATATTCAATAATTATTGTAACTTCGAATATGATTTTTATATTTTAAGAACAGTTGAACGGGATCTGTAATCGTGTCACGATATTATTTTCTATTATTTTTTTGGAAAACTCGAGACGCAATAATGAATTTAAATGTATTTAAAATTAATTAATATATTGTTATTAAATACGCTATAAGATTCTGGACCTATCATAGTACACCTAAGTTTACAATGATAGATATTAACATTAATGGCCATCAGCATCATAGATTGTTGTAATCTGATGCTACAGCAAAACTCGAAAGTAGTCTGATAATTGTATGTATAGAAAGTTCACCTATAAATAATACAGCTTACCAAGTATAGGATAGATATGCAGTATGCAGGATATATTAAATTATTTTTACTAGCAAGTTTGCACGTGACTTATGATAGAGAGATTTGCATATGAAATAACCTTGGTATGTTCTTAGCTAGAACCCAAAATACTGCGTGTATGCTATTCTTACTTATTTCATGATGATTAATTAAGCTGTTAAAATGAGAAAACAAAAAAAAAAACACTTTTACTTTTATAAATAAAATAATATAATAGAGGATTATGTCCCACAAAAAAAAAACAACTTCAATTATATCAACACCAAATATTAGGATTTAAAAAGTAAACAGTACTGAACCTATATTGATAAAATTTCAATGGGACCAATTTGTAAGCATATTCTTACAGATAAAAAAATCCAAAACGATTTAAAACTGATGGAGTTATGAGATTTTTTTTATACCACTGAGGTGGAAAACAGGCATACGGCCCACCTGATGGTAAGTGGTTACCGTAGCCTATGAACACCAGAGGTATTACGCGTGCATTGCCGACTATGGAGAAACCTCTTTATCCTCCTTTTGAAGAACCCCATGCTGTAGGCTCTTGGGAAAACCTCGGCAGGAAGCTCATTCCATATTTTTTTGCCTTTGAATCTCCGTCTTTTTGAAGTCGGTTGAAAATTATAGGTATTCGTAATTTAATATGAGTTTAAAATATTAATACTAATATACATCGGTTTTGTTTTACAACTGCAATAATGTCATATCAGTTAAAATTTACACGTAATCTGCATAATATGTAGGTTTATAAACAAATAAATTGATTTTAATATTATATACCTGTATATAGGTATGTAAATTATTAACTTTCTAATCAATTGAACATACTTATTATTTTATTGTACGTTATATTATAATTATTTTATATTGTTTTCAAGTGGTGCAAAAAAGAGTAAAAAATAAATAAATACTTACTGCAAATGAAGAACAAACAATCGACCTTAATAAAAGTAAAATTACCACTGTGAAATAATTGAATATCTATAAATAGTAATCCTAAGACTTCTAAACTAATATTGAGTAGGTATTTTCAAGAAATTAGATTAACACCATTAATAATCCTGATCTACGTCATCATACGTATGGTACGGTGTCATTTCAGAAACTGGGAAATGTCTATGGTGAACTATAGCATAGAGAATCACTTTTAACAACATTTATGCCTTATAAATTATGTTATACAATAGCAGCATATGTAATTAAATTTACAGACATAATGAAAGTCTAATAGTATGCTCAAACAATTAAAGATGAATGATAATACTTATAAGAACAAGTACCTAAAAGTGATACAAAATTTATCAACTGAAGTATTCACATAAACACGAGTTAATATCCGAATAGATCACACGTTACTGAAACAAATCCAGTTCATAGCTCCTTTAAATAAAATTAATATTCATAACACAAACAATTATTATACAAGTTAGAGCGGAGAGTGCGCAACGCGTCTTCATTATCAGATTGATCTTTGAATCTACCTATTGAGCATAATGGCAATTTTTCAACAAAACGAGAAAGGAAATTTTCAATTTGATTTTATATTTTACAGACCATTGATTGGGGCTATATAATGAAGAGAATCTTATCTATGCATACATATCGTCATAGTCGTATAATACTGATGGATCTGACGAAGATTACATATAAAGATCCGTCACTATTCTACGACTATGATGATATTTGATAAGGTGACCAACTATACTTATTTACTGAGTTTTGTACTCTTTTTTTCGCAAACCGTTCTCCTTTCAAATCTTGTACTCTGAAAGTACTCATTTGTATAATTTTATACTCATTTGTATTTCTAAAACATTTTTTTAGATTATTTTATTACAATTTTATTAATTAAATATTTAAAATTATTTTGACAGTGATTTGAATTTCATTAGAATTTCAATAGAACATATTCCACATGAAAATTTAAAAATTTTAATAGAGATTTCCTTATGTTGTCCAGGCACTAATGCTACTATTGAAAAGGTATTTTCACTAGGGAATGATTATTGGAGCAAGGAAAAGTCGCAACTTTCTGTAAAAACATTATCTGCCGTCTTAACAGTCAAATTTAATATATGGAATGAAAGTTGTTCGGATGTGACTACATTTATTAGACGAACATCCTCATTTAGCAAAAAAAATCCACTCCGAAGAAAAATATGTTTTAAAAGAAAATAAAGTTTTTTTCGTTTTTTCTTCTTTTTTTTTCACCTATGAAATACTTGCAAAATGTACTCTTTTTGAACAAAAAATAGTTGGTCACCTTATATTTGAGTATTCCTAAGATTGCATATTTAAACGTGGCTTTACCACATTTGGTCCACTTTTTCTTATTAGGATAAATTTGTCCTATCTCTCAAGTTAGATTATAAAATACACATTTATAATTTCGTTTAAATCAGTTGAGAGGTTCCGAAAACTAACGTGAACGAACGAACATCGTGATATATATATACGGTTTAGGACCAAAAAAGGTAAAAGCCCTTAAGAAAATTTAAAAACATAGACATATTAAAATATATTGCAACATATATGCACACTTAATTGTCTTTATAAACTACCAATGCTCCGCCATAGTTTCTCACTTTTTTTTATTTTAATATTATATAAAATACAGCCTATATTCCTCACTAATAATATAGCTTTCTATAGGTAAAAGTATTTTTAAAATCGATTACGTATTTTTTGAGTTTATTCATTACTGACAAACAATCAAATATTCAATCAAAGAAATAAACATAAAATTATTTTTTATAATATAAGTTGTAGATATCTATAGACATTTTATAAATACTTTTTATATATTGAAATATCTGTAAAATATGATTGAGGTACACGTTTACACTGAATACGTCAAGCCGATGAGTGTGGATGCCGCTTAAATTACGCGATCCAGTGAACAGAACAAACAATGACGTATATCTTGCCGATTAATCGGAAAGTATTTCACAGAATAATAATTTTAATGCGGCTTCTGTCAGCAAAGTATTTTAATATAACAATAGAATTGCGTTCTAAGTACTTCGCAGAATAAGAAATAAAAAAGTTATTAAAGTACTTGTAATTAGCTGAAAATATGTTTTGTAAGTGTTTACATTTATGTACATAACGAATTAAAGTCCCGGATTCGATCTTGGTCGGGCTAAATAACGAACTAACTCTCTTCTCTTTCTTTCTACTGGCTAGGGTATTTTTTTATTGATGGGTGAAAATGGAATGGTAACCCCGCCTGCGCTAACGGGAAACGCTGGCGGAGTACCAATGAAGAGTGATAGATGAGAATGAAAACAGGCCAGTTAGCCCATCATGATGAATTCATCAGGAATTAACCATGATAGTTTCCAGAGAGAACCGCGTGGAGGTCGACCTGGGTATATTGCTAGCAATGGGATTCTCAGTCTACTTTCCTAACTATCCCTTTCCCCCCACTGGCTAGGGTTTGGGTGTTCTAAGTTTTGCCCCCAACTGCTCGTTACCTAGTTCCTAATAACTAATGTTATCCTAGCTTGAAGATCAGGGGGTTAGTATGATTGTGTGAAACTTATTATACTTTATGCAATTTTAATTACGATATATGTACGTCATGGAAATATAAAATACTAATTATACCACATAATTTAGTGTAAATAACTTCGGCAGTTACTAACTACAACCATATTAATATAGCCATTAATTTAATATACTCAGTTATTTTCGTGAACAACTATTTACAAAATAAATCATTCACTTTATGAAAATAAAAAAAAATATATTTTTTTTTTATTTCCATCATAATAATATTTACCAATCGAGAGTCTCATTTACCAGCCGGTGTACGACAAAAATGTGGTTAACATTTTTACGTTCACCAGATGGCGACATTCATGAGTAATATATGTAATTATTTCACCTAATGATGTGAAACAAAAAGAGTGTGTTGTTTTATTTTTTACTGTTAATAGCTTAATTTAGATCAGCGTAAATAGCGGTAGAACTCTATCCTCGAAATTACTCTTTTGTTCATTAAAATAGAATACACGAGAGATAAAAAAAAATATAACATTCTCTCTGCCTTCTACATCTGAGTAAAATATTCGCAAAAGTCGTTCATCTTATAGGCACAGGCCATAAAGTTACTTAAATAAAGAATCTATGAAATCAAATCAATAATGTTGCAAATTCCTATTTAACAACTCCGCATAACATGCTGTTAGTAGTAGTACTACATAATAGGTGTAATACATAATACTAGTAGTAGTAGTACTCTACTAAGTAAGTAAAGTCGGACGGGATGTGAAGTGAAGACGGAAAAATGAAGTCGTAAATATGACTTCACATTTCGTTATTTTATTCCTGTAATGAATGTACAGAAAGCTTTTTAAATCTCGACTTTTGAATTTAATAAAACAGATCATATCATATCATCGTATTAGCCTTTAACCGTCCTCTGCTGAACATAAGCATCCTTCTTGGGGGGTTTTGCCAGTAGTTCATAAGCTTGGCAGGTGGATTGGCAACCGCAGTTAGGCTTTAGAGATGTTTTAAGAGCGATGTTGCTGTCTATCCCTTGCTCTTCCTTAGTCGCCTCTTAAGAAACTCACGGGAAAGGAAGGGGTGGCCTATTCAATGTCGAGACCACATGGCTAATAATACAGATAGTAATAAAAAATTGAAGAAGATGCAAAAATCTGTCGTCCGCTAAGTCATGTCAGGGCCCTTAATTATACACAAACCTAACGGCCTAATAAATATTTATATCCTAGGGCGACAATTTTACAAGAGAAAAAATAACTAAAATGTATTTTGCACATGAAAATTGAATTGGTAGTAATGAAGTCTGCCATCCCCATAGCCAGTCAGCGTTTACGAATAATGCAGGCTGAATTTTCATTTTATTTCATAACTAATTAAAAGGTTTTTTCAACAATAATTTAATATATTTTTTATTGGATGTTAATGGAATGTTTACTCCGCTTGCGTTAGCTGACTAAAGACTGGCGGAGTACCAGTAAGAGCATGAGATGATAGATATATATATATATATATATATATATATATATATATATATATATATATATATATATATATATATATATATATATATATATAAATGACGATAAAAAGGCAGTTCAGTCAACCCTTCGTGATGAATAGACCCGGAAGACAACTGACCTGTTTTCAAAAATATAATCGTTAGCACAGGCGGGGTTTTCCATTTTCACAAAAAAAAAAATAGACCTCAGGACGATGGTTTCCTAAGAAAGGTCAACCCCTAGCAATGGGACCCTTTTCCATTACTAACAATCTCTTCCTCTTATAACTTTAGGGTTAGTAAGCTTAATAATATATATATATACCTCAATTTGTTTATCAATTATCAATTTAGTCAGGCGCGAAAGGTACTTTCATCCTTAAAAAAAATTATTATAAATGGTATGAAATTTAAGTCACTGGAATAAGGTTTGAATTGCTTAAGCAAACCAATATTCACATGAAACTATAAAAGTCAGTAACGCCATCTATTACATACTGTAGAAAGGTATATTATTTATGTCATAGATAATAAAATTTATTTTGCCAGCAGCAAAAATAACAAACAATTTAAATTACTGCATTTAGTGATAAAATAAATTATAATATTAAATAGAAATATTATTGTACTTATATTTATTTCATTTTTTTTAAATCTTAGAATGCAGCGTAAGAAAATGTCAAAATCAGCCATCACAAATTTATTTCTACTGAACAATTTCTCACATAGGATTTTGGCATCGTAAATCTGTACACACCGTGCTATCTGACATAGTCAAACGAGCTCCAATTTCTACTGAATATGAACACAGTGAATCAATGTTGGAAAACGTTTACACAAACAAGTTCTTTCTCAACATGTTCCTACTACCAACATAATCAAATATCTAATATTAATACTATGTATTATTTCAGGAATAATCAACAATAATAAATGAAGTATAAAGAAATTAATTTGTGATAAAAATTAAATATAATATATCTATTTAATCTTACCTTACACATATAAAACAATATCAACACAAGCTATTTCGAATCTAATGACATAGAAAGAGATAAACTAATTTGTAAGAAAAAGAAAACCGAGCGCCACATTGCCAATGACGCCCGATATCGCGGAATGTTAGTTTTAGTGTGTTGGCAATACTGATTTAGTTCACCATCGCGACCGCAACGCAGCGTTGGCGTCGTGCAACACCTTTCATTGTATTGA